ATCCCCAGCGGTTATCTCCCTCCTAATTACGCAGATGTTGATGGCACAGGAACTTTACGCAGCACTTACAATTATGACGCGTACCTGACCACAGGATCTAGAACCAGTGACTTTAAGTTTGTGACATCATACAATGACAACACGCTGCCTGCTGACCAGACTCTGAAGAAAAGTCCATCAGATTTTCTCGAGGCTTTTGGGGAGTCTGACGACCCTCCCCAGGTAAGAATACCACGTTGACGTCATTACACCTACGTCATTCAAAAAAAATTCAACCCTTCTTCGGAAACACATCTTCGGTGTTATTTTCTTTTAATCAAATCAACTATTTTCATAAAACTGTTTTTTTCATAGATGAAAATATTGTATATTACTGTACTTATGAACTTGAGTTAGTAAAGCTCCGAATAACATCATTAACCGAGAATTTTACTACAAATTCGTCGTTTTTGTTTTAATATCAGTTCATGTCATTGGCCTTATTTCAACTGAATGAATATATTAATTAATTAATTAAGAAAAAAGAAACAAAAAATCACAGAGATAAACGATACGAAATCCTGCAGATTGAATACTGGATTTTTCACTGTGGATGTTCCTAAGGTTCAACTCTTAGTTTGGTAGAGCGAATACCTGTAAAGGTTTGCCTTCATACATCATAAAACTCCGTTCTGTTTGTTGTGATTATTATTAGAATTTTTTCTTGAATTTACTCACAGTCAAATATGTTGTGTTAATTACTCAACGAAATTCTGCAGTTGGATTTACCCATTCGTTAAAAATAAATAAATAAATAAATGAATTAAACAAAACAAAAAACGTTGCAGAATAATTTAATATAATAATGAGAAAAAAATATTTTTTCCTTCATAATAGTTTCGACTTTTGTTACAGAGCTGAATTGGGTATTCAGCAACTCATTCTTTTAGGCTGAATTTTTGCTTGGATGTTGTTTCAGGTTCACGCTTTCAGTTAAGAGTTTTTACAGGTTTTTGCTCAATTACATTTATAAACAAGAAATACATGTTTGTAGCAACAGTATCAAACAATGTAGTACTACATTTTATTGCTAACGTACCGTGGGGTAGATGGCACTGAACAGATAAAACAGAACCGAATTAATCAATAGAAAGCGCCTTTTGTCGTCTGCCATTCTTCTCGGGATGAAGTCTCTTTCGATTAGCTAAGTTTCTTGCTTTTCGTCAACTTGAGGCTATTTTGTAATCCTTGTAGGATGCAGCGAGTGTCGCTGTCTACCAATCGAAAATTGTAAAACAGGCTACAGATGAGACAATCAAGCGTCTCCACCCACAGTGTTAAAGCTTATTGTTTGCCACTGCACTGTACTCCTTGAATTACTCGCACATGAACACATGATTTTGTGTTTCTGAGGAATACTGACCACCTCCTTCTTTTTCATTCAGTTTATTTTTTGAGTGATGGCATATTTCGTGTTTTCGGTGAACCTTGTCTGCACTTTCATGTGTTTTCTTCTGGCAGTAGAGCTGTGTTGTGGCGATGTGAGCTATTCTTTCCCCGAGGAAATGAAACAAGGATCGGTGATTGGAAACATAGCCAAGGACCTTGGGCTTCAAGTAAGCAGTCTTTCCGCTCGGAAGGCTCGGATTGCTCTCAAAGAAAACCGTAAACGTTACTGCGAGATAAACGTTGATGCTGGAGAACTGGTTGTTGATGATCGGATTGATCGTGAGGAGCTATGTGGAGCTAAGGTTTCTTGCAATTTAAAATGTGAACTAGTACTCGAAGATCCACTCGAATCGCACCGGATATCTTTGCAAATTCAGGATGTAAATGACAATCCACCAGTTTTTGTTAAAGACGTCGTTAAATTGGATATTGGTGAATTGGCTCCGAAAGGTTCTCGCTACAGAATAAATGCAGCACGCGATGCAGACATAGGACAAAATGCTGTTCAGAATTACATTTTGCAAAGGAATAATTATTTTGCTCTGAACGTACTAACGAATGCCGTCGGCACAAAATACAGCGAGTTAGTTTTAGACAGGGAATTAGATCGTGAAGAGCAGCAAGATATGGCTTTATTGCTAACAGCTGTCGATGGTGGCAATCCTCCGAAATCAGGCACAGTAGTCATTAAAATCACCGTACTGGATGCTAATGATAACGCCCCAGTTTTCACTCATACAATCTATGAGGCTTCTCTTCCTGAAAACTCCCCTATAGATAAAGTAGTTGCAACAGTGAGTGCTACAGATGCAGATGAAGGAGTTAATGGTGAAGTAACATATGAATTCAGCGGAATAAGTGATATAGCAAAGGAAATATTTTCTTTAAATGAAAATACCGGAGAAATTATACTTGCAAGAAATGTTGATTATGAAGAAGAGTCGAAGTTTGAAATGCTAATTGAAGGGAAAGATGGTTATGGCCTTTCTACAGAAACAAAAGTTGTAATAGATATAACTGACGTCAATGATAACGCCCCAGTCATCCATATCAGTTCGTTATCAAACCGCATACCCGAGAGCATATCATCGGGTGCAGAGGTGGGCATCATTCATGTGCAGGATGCAGACTCTGGGAAAAATCAACAGGTCCGCTGCACCATCCAGCAGGGTGTCCCCTTTAAGTTGGTCCCATCTATTAAAAACTATTATTCTCTGGTGACTACGGGACAACTGGACCGTGAACTAGTGTCTGATTACAACATTACAATCACTGCCACTGACGAGGGCTCTCCACCTCTGTCCTCTTCTAAAAGTGTTCAGTTATCTGTAGCTGATATCAACGACAATACAATTATGACGCGTACCTGACCACAGGTTCAAGAACCAGTGACTTTAAGTTTGTGACATCATACAATGACAACACGCTGCCTGCTGACCAGACTCTGAAGAAAAGTCGATCAGACTTTTTTAAAACTATTGAAGATTCTTTGGACCCCCTGGAGGTAGGCTTTGTGATTTTGAATCCGAATTAAGTCACTTGTTCATGTTCCTCAGTGTTCAGCAAATTGATATCAATAGTGGTGAAAGTCTATAATATTCCACTGTTGATATGCTAATTTTATTTAAAAATTTTTTTAAATAGGGCTGATACAAAAACAAAAATTTAAAAAATGTCTTAACTTTGAACTGGCCTTGAAACTTAACGGCCAGTCTCAAACTTTCAGTTATTCTTTTGTGTTTTTTAAAATGGGGATATGAGATAACATATCCATATAGTTTCTCTTGTGGCTTTTTGGTTTAGAATAATTAAAGACACCTTATATCTGCTCATTCAAGCGCTGTTTTTTCTTCTCAGTACTGTGTTTGAATGCCACATTTCTTGTTGAGTTGTCACTTAAATCTAGCAGTAAATCTAGTGTATATTTGAATATCTTTCTAATCACTTAAGAAGTATGAGATTCGATTGACATCAAATTCATCTACAGCTGAATATATATACAGCTTTCGTCCAAATAAATTGCAGTCAGCGTATTGATGTAGGCATTGTAAAGTGTACAGTTCAATTTTTGTTTGTTTTTAATTTTGGTTGAACCGTTATATTCCCCTCCCTCGTGTAATTCTTCAGTGCTGTCACCAATGCCCATATTATCTCCCAATGAGCATTTGGAATGCTACTGCTGTTGTTTTTATTATTCTGATTTCACCATAGTCGCAAATAAGACCGCTATTTTGTATTTTTTTTTTTATCATTACGTTAATTTGTCAGTATTCAACTTCGTATGACAGTTTCTTCAAGCATGGCCCTGCTGCCACGCAGGCGTTGATGTGTATATGTCCATGTTGGTGAAGCTAATTTAGATTAACCTTCTCCTCTTTTGTTTTAACTACGTGCTTTCCAAACATGCCAACATTAGTACGTACAGCAGAAATCTCCTGCCTGAAGGTTATGTGCTCATAAAATAAAATAAAATAAAATAAAATAAAATAAAATAAAATAAAATAAAATAAAATAAAATAAAATAAAAGTTTTTGTAGGGCGGGATACATTTCTTTTTTTATCCTGAGAGGACTCTCATCATTTAATGCGTTTGCAATACTAAAATTTCTCTCATAGCGTCGCTGTCCACCAACATACATAGTAGGGTCATATTTGTTATTCTGCACAGTGTAAACGTTTCTAGATCATGACCGATTTTTCACAGACAAAAGCAGCGAGGTAGCAACGTTTCTAGTTGGAATTGCATACATAGTTCGAAGAGGATTCCGGTGACTGCTCATTTTTACTCCAAAAGGCTTGCCCTTGGCGGATTCCTTATCGATTTAAAAGGAAAATGGAAAACAAAGCATCTCCGGGGTTCTGGCTCGTCTTCTCGGGAGTATTTCTTCTGGCGCTGCAAACGGTTTGTGGAGATGTTGCTTATTCTTTTCCGGAAGAAGTTAAACGAGGCTCTGTTATCGAAAATATCGCAAAAGATATAGGAATTGAGGTGGGAAAACTGGCTACTCGAAAGGCTCGTATTGATGTTGACAGGAGCAGCAAAGGGTATTTTGAAATTAATAGGAGTACTGGAGATGTGATTGTTACCGAGAGGATTGACAGAGAGGGTCTTTGTGGCAAAAAATCTACTTGCATTTTAAAACAAGAGCTTGTTTTGGAGGAGCCTTTAGAGCTGCATCGCATTAGCTTCCACATTCAAGACATCAACGATAATTCACCGCAGTTTAAGAAGGATACCATCAAATTTGAAATAAGTGAATCTGCAGCTAAAGGAAGTCGCTATCGTTTAGATGAAGCTCATGATGCTGATATCGGACAAAACGCAATCCAGGGATATAGTATTGAAACAAATGAATATTTCCGATTGAATGTTATTGAAAAAGGTGGTGGAGGAAAATACAGCGAGTTAATTCTACAAAAAGAGTTGGATAGAGAACAAAAGACAGAGCTAACGATTGAGCTTGTTGCAACTGATGGGGGCACGCCTCAGCGATCGGGTACTGCGGTTATTCATGTTAGCGTGCTGGATGCCAATGATAACGCACCAGTATTTAGTCAGGCCGTTTATGGAGCCAGTGTACTTGAAAACTCCCCGTTAGACATAGTTGTGATCACAGTAAGCGCGACTGACGCAGATGAAGGCGTCAACGGAGAAGTGACGTACGAATTTGATCACATTTCAGATGAAAGTTTTAACGTGTTTTCTATTGATCAGAAGAGCGGTGAAGTCCGAGTAAGTGGGCCAATAGATTACGAGCACTTGTCGTCATACGAAATGCAAATTACTGCAAAGGACGGTCTCGGGTTGGTCTCATACTGTACCTTAATAATTGAAATTACAGATGTCAATGACAACGCTCCAATAACAACTATTAAGTCCCTGAAAAATCCTGTACCAGAAAATTCACCACCAGGTACAGAGGTAGGAATCGTTAACGTGCAGGACAGAGACTCTGAGAGTAACGGGCAAGTCCGCTGCTCCATCCAGCAGGGTGTCCCCTTTAAGCTGGTTCCTTCTATTAAAAACTATTATTCTCTGGTGACCACCGGACAACTGGACCGCGAACTAGTGTCTGATTACAACATTACAATCACTGCCACTGACGAGGGCTCTCCACCTCTGTCCTCTTCTAAAAGTGTTCA